AGTCAGCCGCACCAGCCAGCCAGCCCCTGAGCCAGCCAGCCAGCTCGTGCGCCCGCGCGCCTGCCCGAGCCTGCCAGCCAACCCAGCCCCTGAGCCTGCCTGCCAGCCAGCCCGCCCGCCCGCAGCTTGGCTGCTCGCTGCAGCAGGCAGGGCAGAAGCGGCGCGGATGCAGTGCGGACGCGGCAGGCAGGGCGGTGGGGCTACAATTTTGGATCGTAGCTAGATCGTAGGTAGGCCGCGCATCAAAAAATTGTATACAGGGCTCGATGCCCGATTTCCAATCGTAGCCTGGCTACGATCCAAATTGGGCCCGACCCTGCTGCTAGCTATGATTTGACCAGCGGTAGACGGCTCTGAAATACACGTATTTCCAGACCAATGCCGATTATTTGGAAGTGTGCCTGCATTTCCCCATAAGCACATTCCTCTACAAGCACACATTTTGGAAGAAACAGAAGGTGTGCTTATAGAGAGCTTTGACTGTATTGCTCTCAGTCTGCCTGCCTGCAGGGTGGGACCCGCCAGTCAGCGAGTGGTCCAATGCGTCAGCGCGGACATGTCGAGGTCCTAGACCCACGGGGCGAGTCGCAGGCAGGCAGGGTCGTTAGGCCAGCGCTGCTCCTGCCCCCGCGTGTCGGCGGCAGCGTCCAGCGTCTTTTCGTCGGCGGTTAAGCGAGGGCAACTAGGCATGCCTCTGCTGTGGTGCCTGCCGGGCAGATCACCGTGCGCATGCACCCGTGCGTGGATGCGGGGTCGTGCGAGGGGGTGGGCGCCAGAAGGTAGAGAGCGCCTCGGATCGGCTGTCTAACGGAAACCGGCGCTCTGGAGATGGGCCTCCTCAGCTGCTTTGCCGCCTTCGTGACGGGTAAGGCTCGGACCGATCCAGCATCCCCACTACTGCGCCTTGCTCGTCTCCAGACCTCTTCGCCTCTCACCACCTCCATCTCCTCCCGTCGACTTTCATTCCCGCCGCCCTTCCCATCGTCACGATACCCTTGCCCTTGGCGCATCCGGACCGCCTCTCCTCCCCACCTCCTTCTTCAGGAGCGCATCGCCGTCTTGTCCGCCGCCCGCACGTCGTCCCTCGCGGCCGTCGACAAAGGATACACTCCAACGACCTAGCGCATCGGAGGCACGTCGAGGCTCACCTTTTCGTCACCGAGGCCGTCAATCCCGTATAGAAATACAGGCTGCCGTGCCTTTCGGATCCCCTCAAAGGCCTCCAGCGAAGCCGGTTGCCCGACCTCATCTTGCATCGTTCCCTTTCGCAGCCCGCGGCCTCTGCGATCGCGTTACTCTGGCGCTAGCGCGAGCGGTCGTCTCGCAGATCGCATTTGCTGCGCTCCCGACGCTGATCGCCAGGATCGAGGCCCTGCTCGAGCCTGCGAAACTCTGCCGGCTGGCCCGACTCCGGCACGGCCCGACCAGAAGGAGGCCCGGCGACCGCCGTAACACCCAATGTGAATGGACTGGATCCGCGGCCGCAAGCACCGATAGAATAGACGTTGGAGGCAGCACTAGAAGCGATAGACCGAGCGCCGGAACGCCAAGCACCATCGTCATCACCTTGAGGGGCTTACCTGACGCTGGCGTCCCCCGTCCGAATGTGAGTAGCAGGGAGACGTCGATGGGGTTCGGGCCAAGGCGCCATGCTTTGCTCGATGGGAGTTGCGAGGGGTCTTGCTCCGCGGCTGCTGCCAGGTAGTCGAGCTGCTGCTGCATCGGCGAGAGGAGGCGTGGTGGTAGCGGTGCGCCCTGGCTCGGTGCCGTCTCGACAGGGAGCCCCTCGCCGTGATGTCGCGGCCAACCCCGTGCCGTCCATCATCAGGCTGGCTGGCCGGCCAAGAGATCGAGAGAGGTCCGATAAGGCCGGCTTCGTCTGGCTTGACTCGAGCATGACCAGGCAAGTGGTGGAAGTGGTCCAAGGCGATGAGGCGGGTGAGGACCCGTGGCAGAGGTCGGACGGCGCAGAGGGCGAGGTCAGGATACCCGGACCCGAGCAACGGGGCCGATTCCTACTCGCGTGCGTGTCTGTGCTCGCCTCCTCGCCTCGATCAGACCTGCTCGGCTTTCACGCGGTGACACGGTGTGGCCACCCGTCCGCCTCGACTGCGCGGGCCGATTGTGGACATCGACTAGCTGGGCTCAGCCAGGCGATCATGTCAAGCCGATCCAGGCCCGACAGCGCTGCCCACCGCCTGGCCGGAGAGCGGGTTCGCCCCCCACTTGCCCGAGGCGGTGGCCTGGCCGGGCGGGGGTCGACCTCGCGCGCGACTGACTAGCGAGGTGGCTGCTCTGTCAGCGGCCGGACGATTGGCCACGCACGCAGGCAAGCAAGCCGTGCAGGCGGGCAGGCCAACGCGTACGGTCGGGCGGGCAGGCAGACGGGCAGCGACCTGTCTGAGCAGCTGTGACGATGCGCGCAGAGTCAGGCGCGCTGGCTGGCTGGCCAGAAAGCAAGGCGCCCTGCCTAGTCAGGGTGCCGCTTGGCCGAGGTCGAAGCCGGCCGGTCAGCGTGCCCTGTCGTCAGACAGGGGCGCAGCGCGGGGCAAAGCAGTCAGATGTGGCGGGACTAGCGCCGCAGAGGCGAGATGACGAGTGCGCTCGCCGGCATGCGCTCGCAAGAGAGGTAGCGTATGGCGGCGGTGCCGGCGAGAGCGAAACAGGTCGGTGGGAGGGGGGCAAGGCGCCCGCGCGCACGCGGCGAGCGACCGGAAGAGTTGGCGGTGGTCGAGGCCAGGCCGGGCCCGGCCAGAGCAGAGGTCATAGGCGCGTCGCTGTCGTGGTCGTCGTCTCGCTCGCCGTTGACCGCCCCTCGTCGTGTCTTCGGCTCCACCACCATCCTCACCGCCTCTTCGTCCTCCTCCTCTTTCTCTCCATCCCCCTTTTCCATCCCGATCACCGCCACCAGCATCCCTACCTCCCGTCCGACGCCGCCCTGTTGCTGTCTTGCCTCCTTGGGCTTCCCGTGCGTCGTCGCTACTACTGCTTCTGGTGCCTCGCCTTGCACGCGTCCTGCCCTTGCCTTCGCCCAATGATGGGTTCTCCTGCCGTCACGATCCGATCCACAACCAACTGACCGAGCTCCTGCCGCTTGCGCGGTTCCCTGCCTTGCCGTGCCCAAACCCTCTTTTCCTGCTCTGCAGATACGCAAGACTGGCTCAGCAGCGCCCGTGACCGATACCCGATTCCCACTTCCTTGGCTTACTTGTCACTGCGCCGAGCCGCAGGATACCGGATCTGGTACACGCTTCCTTCCACGCCGTCACCCAAGCCAAGACTATCGACAAAGAGGCTGGCTCTGCGCTGCTCTGGCCAGTCCTCTTCGAGGCCGCAGCGGTCGAGGTCACATCAACGTGAGTCTGATCAAAGCTCTCTGGGGAGGGTCGGATGCGCGCTACAGGCCGGGTCGCGCCAGCGACTACATGCGATGAGTGGCCTGCAGCCAAGAGGCGAGGGAGACGGAGCCCCCGCTTTCTTCGGCTGGCCCCGCATGCCGACCACCGACCGATGCTGGAACCCGGATATGAAGCCAACCTCGGACCTTGCGCCTAAGCTGCAGGCCTCGGAGACCGGTGCCGAGCTTTCCACGCTGACAGCCAAACACTCCAACTGACGCTCACTACGACTGCTACTACTGGCCATCTCGCTCTTGCTTCTTTCTTACACCGTGCCTCGCCACTCCCCAAATGCGTCGTGATTTTCCGCGCTCTCCACACTACTACTGCACCTATCGGATGCATCCGCCCACTTCCGCAACCGCCGACCTCCTTTGCCAAACCTTGCATGCATCCGCGAACCACGGCTCCGGACAACGCTGCCGCTCTTTGCTCTCATGGCCCGGCGCCGAAACGCGTCCATGCGCACTACTACTACCTACTGCTCGCAACCGCTAGCTGACCCCTCGACGGACGCTAGCCCTGGCCGGCTCGTCTATCGGCTTCAGGCTAAGCCCACTCGATCCTGTGGCGACGAGCTGTACGAGCGCACCATACATCATCGTCGGTGTTTCTGCAGCGGCCCCTCCGCCTCGCCCGCGTGCCCGCGGCTGGCCCTGATCGGCTCAACGGTACAAACAGAGCAACGGCACCGGCAACAGACGAACGAGTCCCCGCTTTCATCACCCACCCCGCTGCTTCTCAGCCGCGACCACATCCCAGTCTGCCACTCTGCACCAGGCACTCGACCAGTGGCGGAAGAGAGGGGACTCTCTCGGCCATCAGGCACCCGAGAGGCCTACAGACGTCTTTGGCCGTCCCATCACATCGTGCAGCGAAAGGGCAACAAGCACTGCCTCTGGAGGTAGCGCAGGCGCTGGTCTCGGCCACGACGTCACACAGTCCTTCCGCACAGCAGAGCCGACCTCCCTGTTCCACCGCGGTGGCCTTCGACCAGCATGTCGGCGCCTTCTTCTGACCGCAGGTCGAAACAGTCGTCGCCGGCCCAGCCTCCTGTTGGCCTCGCTGCGGCCGGCCGACCTGCACCGGGCCCTAGTGCAACAGAGACGTCGCAAGCGGACGCCACGGAGCGACCAGGCGGTGGGAAGAACGGCGAAAGTGGGACCGACGAGCTGCGCGTAGAATCGTACCGGCGCTCCGACTCGCCTCGTGAGGTCAACGCGGCGACGACGGCAAGTGCTGGTCTAGCCGTGGGCAGCAACGGACGACCCCGTTTGACGATCGACAGGCGTAGTCTGTCAGTCAACACAGGAGCCCTCGGCCGCAGCCCTGCCCCACCCCTCTCGCCATCGGCTGCCCAGTGGCAGAGCCTGGAGCGTCCGCAAATTGCATCGTCCGGCGTTGTCTCTTCCAGCGTCACCAACATGCATCCGCGAGACTCGACCTCTTCGGCGAGGCAGGGGCAGTCGCTCGCCACCATGCACGAGGAGGACCAACACGTCAACAGTGTTTACCATGAGGTGACGGGCCCGCTGTCGGCTGACGCGGGACTTGCCTTCGCTACCGACCTGCAATCAGCGTCGTCGGGCTGGGGCGAGCTTGGCGAGGGCAATCTCCGAGCTTCGCGCCACCGATCGACGTCGAGCGCCGCCGCCCTTGCGCTGCACGGTTCGGGATCGTTGGCCCTCGGCGCCGCCGAACCGCACCCCTCACTGTCAACGGTGCGAATCGGTTCCGGATCGTCGGCAAGGTCGATCTGGGAGCGCGATCCTCCGCCGGGCGAGGCGTTCGGATATGTCGGCAGGTACCGGACGGGCTCCTCGCCACACACGTTCCATGCTGCTGTCCAGCGCGGCTTCAGCTTCTCATCGTCGTCCATGCAAGGCGGGAGCGCTGCCGATGTCCATCAATCGGCGCATCCGGGGTTCCTCCGGGACCGCGGCCTGTCGATCGGCAGCAACGCCAGCGCCAGCACCAGCAGCAGCGCCGCGCCCTTGCATGACGCTTTCCCCTTCTCGCACCCAGGACTGCTGGCGGAGAAGGTCGCTGACGGCGCCACGGGCAGCTACTTTCCTTCGGCAGGGTTCGGTCAATCGGCTTTCTACGCCGATCCCGTCACGGGCCAAGCCGGCGGTACCGAGTCCCGCCGCCACTCAATCGCAGGCGATGTGACCCCAGACACAGGGGGCGCATTCGGAGGGCAGCGTCGAGCCGTGGGCTTTGAGGTCAGCCGGACCATCGGATTCGGAGCCCCTTCTCGAAGCGCCCACAGGCAGTCGACGTCCGGCAGGAACCGCTCGTCGTCCTTTGCGCCATTTGGCAGCGGCAGCCTCGCGCTGACCGACGACGACCTTGCCGGGGACTCGGACTTTGTCCCGCTGCAAAAGGAGCTCGACCGTGCCAAGAAGGAACAGGATCGCGAGCAGCAGCACCACTACGAACGACATGAAGACGACGGCGGCTTCAGGGTGCCATCCGGCACGGCTGCGGCGTCGGGTGCGCATGCCGCCTCGATGCCGTCGGGCTTCGGTCAACGCAGTGCCGGCGGCTTTGGCGCGAGTCCGGCGGCCTCGGTCCTCGAGTTCGGACGACAGCCTCACTCGGGGCGGCTGGCGCTCAACAGCAGCGGCGGGGCCGGCATGGACAGCCTGTCGGCTAGCTGGGATATCATGACGCCGTCCGCTCCATCCAGTGGCCGTTCCCCGGACGATCGCAGGGACAGCATCGCGAGGATGACCGATCAGCTGCGGCAGACCACAATCGGCAGCGGTCGAGGTGATGTTCGCGGCCCGAGTGGACCCGATCGGGCCAACGACGATGGCCATGCAGCGGGCACGGACACGGTCAAGGCTAGCCCTGGCGGATCGCCGCGCCAGCCACAGCGCTTCTCGCTCTCGCCGACCGCCAAAGTGTTCCAGGGAAGCCAGCTTGGGAGTTCTACGGCGGCATTGACCGCTGCTGAGAATCTGTCGGCCCTATCGGCATACGACGGCGCTTACCTGAGGCAGCGATCATCGTCCATTGCCGATCACACCTCTCTGGGCACCGGCACCGGCACCGGCACCGGCACTTTCCAGCAACATGTCAATCTTGGTGGCCATTACCACGCAGGTGTCGGAGGCCCCGGCAGCGGCGCTGCAGCCTTTGGACCTGCCCCTGCAGCGGGCTTCCAACCATCCGCCGGAGCTGCTGGAGGTGTCGGCGGCTTCGCCGGCCCCTATATGGCGCCCGGGTATTCGCTGCCGGCTCCGGCACAGCTGACCGACTTTGCCATGAGCGGCCTGGCCAGTCTCGGACCCCTGCCGCCGCCCTCGGGAGGCGGTTCGGGCGGAGGGAGCGGCTTTGGTCCAGGCAGCCAACAGCAGACAGACCTGCAGGATCTGGGCAAGGGGGTGCCGCTGTCCAGTCTCGCCAAGGATACGCCGCTTTACATTGTTGAGTTCAAGCAAGGCCGCACCGACCTCTTCTTCCGACCTCGCGGAGCCTCCGACGAGCACATTGCGAAAGGCGACCTGGTCATTGTCGAGGCCGATCGGGGAAAGGACCTCGGATCGGTCGTCAACGACAGCATCACCGTCGAGCAGGTCCAATCCTTCCTCGCGCATCAGTCCGAGCTCGCCATGATTGCTGCGGGTGGCGGCGGCCGAGGCGGCACTTCCGACGACGCAACCTCCAGCGGCGGCGCAGGAGGTCTCGGCAGCTCGCCCAGCTCCCCGACCACGGTGCGACCGACACGCTCTATCAACCCCAAGCGGCTGTTTGGCAAGGCGACGCCAGCCGACATGAGCCTGCTCTACTCCAAGGCGCAGGACGAAGAGCGGGCCTTGCAGCTTTGTATCACCAAAGTGGGCCAACGCGGCCTGCCGATGACCATCGTGGCTGCCGAAATGCAGTGGGACCGTCGCAAACTGACGTTCTACTATACAGCGAGCATGCGGGTCGATTTCCGCGACCTGGTCAAGGAGCTCTTCCGGCTCTACAAGACAAGGTGAGTGGCCGCAGCGTCCGGCAGAGGCTCCGCGGCTATTGCGATCTGACGCATTGCCTGGGACTCGCTTCTCCTCGTCTGCCTCTTTCCCGACAGGATCTGGATGTGTCACCTCGGCCACCCCAGCGGCACCGGCATGATGTGAGGCTCAACGGCGGTCCTCACGCTAGAGAGCAGATGCATGCGAGGGCGAGGGCGCGACTCGCCTTCCAGAGTGGCCCGTCAAGGCTGAGGTCGACGCTTGGGACGCTGCTTCGGCGCCCCATGGTCCTGTACGGCTATCAACGCCAGAGGCCTACGCCCCCTCTCGCACTGAGACAGGACGGCGAGGAAGAGCAGAAGCGAAGCACTCTGAGCGCGAGAACCGGACTGCCTTGGTCCTATTCATCCAAGACCAACTCTACTTTACCGCCTACGCCTCGGACGCGGCCCATCCACTGAGCGCACCCGGGCCGAGCAAAGCTGCCGCTAGGGCACGGCCAACGCAAAGGGACTCGCACACGAAAGGAAGAGCAGGCGAGCGGGAGGATGCATCAGACCCATGCGCTTATTCCGAACAGATACTCTACAGCCTCGAAGGTACGGGACGAGAGGGCGAGCCGAAGCACCACCACATCCCCCCACACGCACCAGTCAGCGTTGGTGCTGGGAGGCCTTTCCTGCTGTCACGGCGAGTTTCGGCAACGCTTCGACCCGGCGAGTGAGCGAACTAGTACATGTACAGTACCAGACAGGCGCGGAGAAGCAGACCCAGTCGTCCCCTCACGTCGGATTGTCTAAACGGGCGTGCCCCCAGGCGCGATCTAATCGAGCCGATGATTGAGACAGCGGTCTGCCTCGTCCCAGCCGGACCTCCGCCTGGCCGCACCTCTCGCGTTCCGACCACTTTGACTGTCCCTCAATGAAAGGAGATCTTGCAGGCTTCCACCTCTCCGCCAGTGCCGTCACTGCCGCCAAGGCTGGCGTCGTCGCTTATCTGATTCTGCTTGAGTCGGAACTTTCTGCATCAGCCGCGGCCTGTTTCCTCCGCGCATCCGCCCGCAAGGCAGCCTCTAGCCTGTCAAGGACAAGAGCTCATTGCGAAGAGACCAGGCACAGACAGGAACTTCATCGTCGATCGATGGCAACGTTAACATCCGTTACGGCGCGGGCGGGCGCCGACAACGGCTGCGGCCGCTAGAGTAGTTTTGGCGACAGCTCCTTGGTCGAAGTGGGAGCACCTCGGCAAGGCGAATTCACGCGTTGGCGTGAGCTTGTCCGCGACAAGCTCGCTGGAAGTTCGGGCTCGCAAGCGATCCTCGGACCTCTACGCTGGCGAGGTGAAAGCGAGTCTGACAGGGACGCGCATGCGCACTCGCGGTGTCATGGCACGCTCACGAGGTCTTCCCGCCTATTGGCATCGAATGACGCTGCGCCCGGCCGTGAATATTGAAAAGCGTGGCCTTCTTCATGCCATCTGCCTCTCACTGTCGGAACGCACTCAGGGTCACAGAGCAACGGCATCACTGCCGCCGCGAGAATGAGTTGAAAGACACGCAGGCTCATCCCGAGCCAGTCGGGACGAGGCGATGATCGGCGAATCAGGGAGCAGCGCGAAAGGCAAAGAAGACTACAAGGGTGCTGTCGGCAACTTGAGACGGCTCAACTGAGGCTTGATGGCTTGATGATTGCTTCGGTCTATCCTCCCAGACCTCCTCCGATCGCATTGAGGATGCCCGCTGGCATACCGAGGCCTCCGGCGCTGAGACCTGCGCCGATCGCCTTGAGGATGCCCGCGGCTTTCTGGCTTTTCGCACCTGCGTCTGCACTTCCACTGCCTCCTGCCCCAGCAGTAGCAGCGCCAACCCCAGCGGCAGGGCTGGCAGCGTCACCACCGGCGGCAGGGCTGGCAGCGCCGTCATCAGCAGCAGGGCTAGCAGTGCCACCACCGGCGGCAGGGCTGGCAGCGCCGTCATCAGCAGCAGGGCTAGCAGTGCCACCACCGGCGGCAGGGCTGGCAGCGCCGTCATCAGCAGCAGGGACGTTTTGCCACTAGCAGAGGTGCGGGGGTAGTGCTGCCGGCAGCGGCGGGAGAAGCGGTACCGCTACCACCCGTAGGGGGAGCAGCGCCAGTGCCGCCAACCGGAACAACCGCAGCCTTGGAGGCGGGTACAGGAGCACTGCCGGGAGAGGGGCCGCCAGAAGTACCACCGGCACCTGCAGTGCTGCTCCCGGCATCGCCGCCGCCCGCCCCTCCCAGGCCGCCCATTAAGTTGGACAAGCCTCCTCCCCCGCCGCCAGCACCGAGCCCAGGTAGGCCGCCCCCGCCGCCCATACCTGGGAAGCCGCCCCCGCCGCCCATACCTGGGAAGCCGCCCCCGCCGCCCATCATGCCAGGCATCATACCGCCCATCATGAGTCGGCGATCGAAGCCCGACTTTGCAGCCCCTCGGTGACGCCGGCTGGGTGCGATGCTTCGTTTTCCCTCGAAGATATTGTCAGGCGTCGTGGCGCTGACGGTCAAAGCTTGGAGGCACCAGAGCACTAGGGCGACGAGGATGGCTGCCTTGAAAGTGGCCATGGTGAAAGGTAAGGACTCGGTACGAGCGCGCCGATGGGGAGTGCAGTAGAGGGGCTTGGTCGTTTCGACTTCAGGGTAGGGCAATGCAAAGCGATCGTGTCGAGGGGTGCTCGAACCTGATCTACCCTGGTGCAGATTAAACGAGAGATGTCCTGATCTTGTTTGGGCGATAGTGAGGAGGAAGAGGTGGCCTGAAGGATCCCAAGGGATGCGTTCCTTCGCCTTTAATACCACACGAGATGCCCGCAGACGATTTGAGCCTGTCGACGGCCTCGAGAGGGCTTGCTGGTGAAAATGGCTCGAACTGCTCATCTGCGCGGACAGATGAGTGCCGCGAGTGGATGGTGAGGTGTGGAGCTGCGGGGCCACAAGATAGTCATGGGTGAGGGCTGGACGTTTGTACCGGTTCTAAAGGCGTGTTGTTGGGGTTGGCCATCGAGCTGCCCGTCACGCGCACCGGGGCAAGGGGACGCTTCGTGGCTGCTGAGCCGTGCAGAGGCGTTGGGCGCGACATAACGGCTTGGTGCGGCGACCCGAGCCGTCATTGGGGCACAGATTGGCCATCTCGAGAGGGCGTCGCGGAAGTTTGCGGTCGGTTTCGCGAGAGAGGGAATGCCAGAAGGTAGACGAGGAGAAGGAGACGCTCAGAGAGCAGTGGCGCACGCAGAGAAGGGAATGATTCAAGGCTGCGAGGACGCTGCCTGCCCACGGTTTGGAAGTGAGGAGCCGATAGGCTCTGTTACCTTGCCACGCACGCGGACCGGTGCAGTGCAGTGCAGCGAAGCGGTGGTGAGGGCGGTGGCGGTGGTGATGGGAGGGAGGCAGGCCAGACCTCACTTGGCGTCATGACTACTGGTTGTGTTTGCCTTTCAGAAGTGGCAGAGGTGCCGCGAGGTTGCGGACGCGGGCGCCTAGATGGACGGGCCGGGCGTCGGGCGCAATAATCTTTAGTGCGCGCTGAAAAACGTGCATTTATTTATATGATCAATCTTGGCGCCCACGTCGGTTAGTCGCCCCGCCTCAGACATCCGCAGCCGCGTCGGCAACCTGGTCGTCGGGACCGCCAGCGCGTCATCCTTTGCTAGACGGGAGGCTTCCACTACTCACAAACCACTAGGTAACTTACCATGCATCAACCACCGACGCCCCACGGCTGGCATCGCAACCTCGTAAACCCTCCATCAGGCACCGAGAGCATCGTAGGCATCGTGGCCAACCAGAGGCCCTCTCGACTGGTGACTACTGTCCTCCGCCCCCGCCGCCAGGCGAGTCGGTCCCTCGTTCGGCTGACCGGCCTCTTTGGCAAAGGAGCGATCTTCATCGCTCTAAGCTACAGTGACCGTAGCAAGCGCCGGGCAGAGACTCCTATCATCACGTCTACCCTCGACCCTCGACCCTCGTCGGCCGCGGCAAGGGTGCAACGAGCTAGGTTTCATCGTACATACATTCATGATTCATGATTCCTCTGAGTGGTCGAATGGGCGCGCGCATCCGTCCTCAATGACCGCCACGTCATACAAGGGCACATGAAAGGTAAGATCGAGCCGTCCATCACGCTGGCCATTCCTGGCACCACTGAAATTAAGAGGGCTCTCGAGGCCGTTCGCAGCAGAAGCGCAACCCGACGAGCCATCAACATCTCTCCATTGCAAGCGCCTGCCCCGCCCTTGATCTTCGAATATCGGTTCCAGTCCCTCCTGCACCGCCCCGCACACCAGCCTCACATCAACGGCCATATCGTTGCCAGAGTTGATGCGCACCGAGGCCGCAGCCATCTCTCTAGCCATCTTCTGCTGAGACGTCCCGGGCTCCTCTCAGGACCGTCACTCCGAAGAACTCAACAAGGATTGCAGACTTGAGCGATTCTCTGGCATCGGCGCCAGAAAAGGGAGGCGACAGGAGCGGTGTAGCGCGCCGGATCGTCGGATCGCATCTATTCGCGTCAGCCTGAGACCACACTACTGTCTGAGGCCGCTTCCGACTGCCTTGACGATCCCCGCGGGCATGGCCAGGCCACCAGCACCCAGACCGGATCCGACCGTGTCGAGGATCTTGCTCGCCGTCTGCGTTCCGGCCGTCGAGTCTGCTCCCCGACCACTGATTCCGTGACCGAGAGCGGCACCGCTTGGGGCGGCACCTTCACCGCCTGCACCGCTGCTAGCTCCAGAACTGGCAGGAACACCAGCTGCTCCCCCAGCAGGAGGAGTGTTCTGAGCGGAAATGCTTGCGGCCGGAGCGTTGGGAGTGAGAGGATTTGCAGCGACAGGAGCAGCCGGAGCGTTGGGAGCGGCGGCGGCGTTGGGAGGGGCGAAGGCGGCAGGAGCGGCAGGAGCGGCAGGAGCGGCAGGAGCAGTAGGAGCGTTTGCAGCAGGAGCGTTTGCAGCAGGAGCGTTTGCAGCAGGAGCGTTTGCAGCAGGAGCGTTTGCAGCCGGGACGTTTGCAGCAGGAGCGTTTGCAGCAGGAGCGTCAGCAGCAGCTGGGCTCGAAGCTGGAGGAGCAGCCCCGCCACCACCTGGCGCACCGCCCATCCCGCCCATCAGGCTGGAAAGTCCGCCTCCTCCTCCTCCGCCACCTCCTCCGCCGCCACCTTGTCCTCCCAATCCAGGCATTCCGCCGCCACCTCCCCCCAGATCAGGCATTCCGCCGCCTCCTCCCATATCTGGCATACCTCCACCGCCCATCCCAGGCATTCCACCACCCATTCCCGGCATCATCAGGCGCCGTTCCAACACCGACTTGACATTGTCTCGATGACGTCGGCTCGGGGCGTTGAATCGTCTCTCAAAGCCGACGAGGCGGCGACCGGGCGATGTGGCATCGGTCGTGCTTGCTTGAGCCCATAGGACTACGGCAAGGAGCAACAGCAGCGCTCGCAGTCGTTTGAGCATGGCGGAAGCCTCAGTCGCAGTAAGGAAACGTCGACAAAGAGATGCCGGAGAGGCCTGACTGAAAACGAGGCCAGGAGCAAGGAGTGTCGCGGAGAGTCACGTAGGGCGGAACGAGATATTGGCGGCGGCTACAAATTGAGCGTGGTTGAGTAAGAACGCCGTCCGAGCTTTGAGAGGCCGTGTATGGGAAGAGGGAGTTGAGCTTCCATGACACGGTTCCTTGCGACCGAGGTCCTCTTATACGGTAGGAGAAGCTGCGTCGCTGGCCAACGTCTATGCTGCATCAGGATCTTGCAAGCTGGTTGATACGCTGCTTCACGGTGAAGGGGTATGCGGTGGTACAAAGACAGAGCGACTGAAGCCTGATCATCCAAGGTCGTGCGCCAGTACGGCTTCGAGTCTTCGACGCTTAGTCAAGAGGCTTGAAGGGCGATGACGGCCACCAACGCCAATTTTCGCCCCAAGGAGCCGGCGAACGCGCTGACAGGACCTTGCCTGCGATACTAGGCCAGCTCGATGCAGAGGCGGGCGAGCAGCCACCAACGAGCTGCTGTACCAGTCAGAAGATCACAGCTTGGAGGGCATACGGCCGTGGGAACAGCGAAGGAGCTTCGCGGCAGCCAGTGACGCCTGTAGGCGTTGCGTGTGCTCAGCGGCCTGTCGCGCCATCGCGAGGCGAGCGCCTCCGTCAGCAGTGATGATGACAGTCATCGCCCGAGCGCCTACGGATCATTCCTCGACGCCGACTGACCTGAAAGCCAGGCGGAGGCAGGCGAACCAGTCTGTCTGGGGCATGAAGATCGGATCAGACTCTGAGCACGGGCGCCGGCCTCAATCATGACCGACGACGATAAGCGGGCTGAGGGCGCGTGCACCATTACGCCTGTGACTGGGGCGCAAGGCGCACAGGTCATCGAGCTGGCCTAGCAGTGCGCTGGAGAGTCCTTGGTAAAGCCGTCATCGGCTCATTCGTCATCGTATGCATCGCAGTCATAGCCTCGTAGACAGCAGCAGGAATGGCCCGTCAAACCATCACAGCGATTCATGTCGACTTTGCTGGCTGGCGAAGTAATCCGCCACCGGTCGCAGAAGGCTGGCCGGAACCGCTGTGCTCTGAAGCCGAAACTCCATCAAGCAGGAGTTTAAAAGTGGCCCTGCAGGGCAAAGCAGGCAGAGCTCCCTCCGCCTGTGGCAAGTTCTTGTACCGCTGTACGCCTGCGCGGAAGTATGCTTCTGACTGGCTTGTCAATCGACCAGCGTTTCTGGTTGATCAGATCGAAGGGCAAAGGTGCGGTGGCTTCAGTTTGCGGACCTGCCGTCCTCCTCGCCGTCCTCTCGAACCACAGCCGCTCTTTGCCTCCCGCACTGATGACTCCGATGGTGCCCGCATTGGTGCGGATCAGAACGCTTTGCAAAGACGACCACCGATTCGGAGTGGTGGTGCGGAACAGGTCTCCACAGCAATTTGCTCCCACCGTCCTTCGCAGTTTGCTGTCTTCCCTCACTTCTACCAGCGTCGTTGACAACAAGAACTTTTCCATCGCCGAAGGAACGTCGCCCCGCGCTGTTGTTTACCGCAGTCGCATCTACTTCTTTTGGAATAGCTCACACAAAGCGGGTATCTCCTACGCCGCTCTTGATGGCCGGGAGTGGTCACACCGCTGCAGAGATCAAGGTGCAGGCCGGCGTTCCACTAGTGACCACCATGGTTCGGCTCGACGACGACGCAAGCACCGTCGTCAGCCGCAGCGACTAGTTGGCGAGCGGTCCTCGCGGCAAGAACTGAGCAAGACAGTCCGAGCCCCGCGACGCGAACCGTTTCAGCTCGACTGGCCCCATCCCATCGACTCCATCGTTCGAAGACGGTAGGCGGGGGTCAGTACCGCCGCCAACGCGGCGTCGCCACAAGTGCGGACGGCATCGCACCAGAAACTCATTTGAGCAGATCCATCGTTGCGTCCGTCGTCAAGCTTTTGCGATCCCACCGGGAGCATCAGCGAGACTCTAACCCAGGTGGCCAGCTTGAGTCTGGGTCGCATTGAGACCGGAAGCGTACTCCTCCCCGATTGACATCGCAAGCTGGCGCATCAAAGCATGTGCGGCGCCCTTTCAGTCGAACTGCGGCGCTCTTTTTCCTTCTCTCCCCACATGGCGAGCCCCTGAATCAACGATGCTTGCCGGCTTGTGCTCTGCCAGCTATGTACACGTGCGCGGCGCGCCCTCAGTGCTGCAGCTCGACACGCTTGCCGGGGCTCCATTCGCGCGCAGCCTTGTCAATGTTGGTCCAGTAGCGGAGCTCGACGGCCGCCTTGCGTGCCGTCTCGAGGTTGGGCGGGCTGGACCCGAACGCCTTGCCGAGCTCCTCCACCGCGGCGTCGAGGAATTCTGTGTGAGCAAGCAGAAGGAGTGAAAGCCAACACCATCGGCGTCAGAAGACTTTCCTCTGGGAGAAAAGCGACATGGCAGCGGGCCGGCGCGCGGCAGAGATGGCTCACTTTGATTCTCCTCCCTGACACTGGTCGCCTCCTGCTCGCTCTGGGCCTCCTCGAGCTTCTCGCGCAGCTCCATGACCTCCATCAGCAGCTCAGGGTCCTCCAACGAGTCGGCCTCGCCGACGGGCGGAGCGTTGTGGCGCTCAAGCAGGTACTGAGCGCGGAGGAGGGGCTGCATGAGGGTCTCATAGGCACGGTTGATGAGGGCCGACTGCTGTGCGCCAATCTGCTGCTCCTTTTCGCTGCGGCCGCTCATCCGGTCCGGGTGGGTGACGGCCATGCGCAAACGCCAGACGCGCTTGAGCGCTGCGGGGTCGACGTCCCATCCTCCCCGACCAACTTTGGCGAGGTCGAGGTCGAGGGCCTTGTAGTAGTCGATGTCTGAAGGGAGCGGCTGCAGCGAGGAGCAGGACGGGCAGGAGAGGGACTCGAGGGCTTGGGCCTCGCCGCACGAGGGACAAGACTTGAGGGGTGCAACTGCAGACGTGGAATTGAACCGCCCGTGCCCCACGCATGATGATTGCAAGGAGCGGGGAAATTTTGCGAGTTGGCCTGCTAGAGGGGCGTGACGGGCGTTGCTGGCCGCAAAGCTGAGTTGTCGACTGGGCCTGCCCGCTTCGAGGCTCTGGCGGGCCACCCTCTGCAGAGCTCTGAGCGTGCGATGCCTCAGCATGTTCGCCGTATGCTCGAGCTAGCGATGCCTACCGAAAGAGCTTCCAGAGAAGCCAGAGGCCCACGAACCCGGCGACGATGTAGAGTGTGAGGCGGTGGTTGCGGGCGCCCTGGGAGATGGTACGTGAGAGGTGACCGGAAGTGCGAGAGAGGGAGGAGCCAAAGTTGTCAAACTGGTCCGAGGTGGTGGAGAGGAGACCGCTGCGCTGGCGCTCCGAGTCGTCGTGGATATCGAGGGTGACGGAGCGGAGCGAGGAGACCTTCGAGTAGAGGGCGTCGAGGGCACTGTCGTTCTGCTGCTCGTAGACGCGGTCCGCGGTCGACATTTGGGTACGGACCCGGGGTCTGAAGGTCGAGGTGCGGTGCTTGGTGGGCGAGGCGCACGTGGGAGACAGGTCCTGCGTGTCGTCGCTATGTTCGTGAAATGCCGGGTCAGAGGGTGGCGTCAGTGCAAGGGGAAAAGGGCCGTGGTGGCGGAAAGGTTGATGGTGGTGGGCCCTTGAACGGGGGACCGAGGGACCGAGGGGGCCGCGTGCCAGGCCGCCGCCGATGTGGAGCAATCGGGCCGAGCACACACGGCGGTGACATCAGAGGGGCGGGAAGCTGCATCAAGTTTCGGCTCCGAGGACCGCACCCACCGCCTCGGAGGGCGGTCGGTCGGGCAGGCGGGAAAAACCGCGCAGCTGCCAAGCTGCACCTTCTGACGCTCCCGCCGGCGGCTGCCCACTCCTCTAACGCAACCTTCTCGCAACCCGTCGTGGTTTCCGACTAGCCTTCATCCCTGCCCTCCGACTCCTCATCCTCACAGCTGTGTCTTGGAACCACTCTCGCACCGCCCGACATGTTCTCGTCAATAACCGCATCCTTCGCAAGGCTCGGCCTCTCTTCGACCGCCCGCTCCCCAGCGACCACACAAGGGAGCGCACACCTCTTCGCGCCCAGCACGCGGTCGCTCCACCTCGCATCCTCGTCCCGACCATCGCTCCGCCCCGCCGCCACACCCTCCGCGCTCTCGCCCTCTTCGCACCTCGGCGCCGTCAGGCACCGCTCCCAGCTTGCTCCGCGGCGGACAAAGTACCGCAAGGCGCACAAGATCCGCCTCCCCTTCAACACCGGCGGCTCCCTCAAGGGCACCACAGTCCAGGAGGGCGTCTACGGCCTTCGCCTCCTCGCACCCGCCAAGCTTACCGCAAAGCAGCTCGTGGCCGCTGAGACGGCGCTCAAGAGGAAGCTCAAGGTCATCAAGGGCGCTCAGGTCTTCCTCCGTGTCTTCCCCGACGTCCCCGTCTGCGTCAAGGGCAACGAGACTCGTATGGGCAAGGGTAAAGGCGCTTTCGAGTACTGGGCGTGCAGGTGAGTGGCTGCCCCGTCGCTGCCGCCCAACGGCTGAGCCTCGAGACAGGATCATGGAAGCGTTCCGCAGCTGACGGGCACCTCTCGTCTCTTCGCGGCCGCGGCGTCAACAGCGCATCGATGGGCAAGGTCATCTTTGAGATCGGTGGACCTGTAGAGATCCGTCTCGAGGTGGCAAAGGAGGGTGAATGTCGAGCTGGCCGCCATGAGCGGTAGGCCTTCAGCGCTTCATCCTAGAACGTCCTGCTGACCCCCTTCTTTACTCCGGCCTCCACCGTCCTTGCGTGTCCCCCGGCCCCACAGCGCTCCGACTAGCGTCTGCGAAGCTGCCTGTTCCCACCGAGTTTGTGACCGCAGCCTCGGCACCGCGACTCGGCAACAAGGTGCTTACAGCGCCCGAAGCCGCCGTCGAGCAGCCCGTCTCCGCATAGTCGAACTGCGTTCCGCCTCGACAGCGTTGCAATGCGATCAGACTCCATCAACCCGATCCCGGCGATTCTTGCTGCAGTCGTCGAAGCCTCACTCATACCGCTGCGGCAGTGGCGACATTCAGGCAGAGGCGAGAAGGATCGGCGTCGATGTCTAGTGTTACAGCATTGAGGTTGACGTGAGAACGGAAAAGGAAGCGGGCGCCAGCAGATCAGAGCTCCACCCGCTCCGTCGGGCGTGTGTACTGTCGAGTCGGGTTGGACGCCTCGCCGCCAAAGGGGCCCGCTGGCTCCACACTGTCGACCAGCGGGTTAGCACTCAGGTCATTGAGCCGGCCGTGGCCGTCCCAGACCGCCTCCTCGACCACCGCCTCTGCCTCGTGGGAGGGGGCGGCCGCTGTCTTTGTGGCGCCCGCCATGGCGGCCGAGGTGATGGCGGTGGCCGCCAGCGATGGCGGCATCGATCGTACCGCTTCCTTGACCGCCTTGCCGAGTGACGCTGTTGTCGTGGCTGCCGCCGTCTCCAGCATGTCGATCTTCTCCTTGATATCGTCGACCGACCGAACGCCTCCGCCGCCGCCGAACAGCCTGCCAAGGCCAAGTATCCGCCAGAAAAAGGCCAGGATGCCGAAGCCGCGGCTGACGAGGCGGACGTAGAGAATATAGGCGACGCAGCCGAGGAAGAAGAGCATGGAAGCGGCGAGGATGCCCTTGCCGATCAGGTCCTCGCGCTCCATGGTCTTGATGATGTGCGCCGAGTTGGCCATGAGCGTCGAGAGCGAGCCGTACTGCGACGAGAGCGTGGTGAGCGTCTGCGACGACTCTTCGAGGAGCGACGACGACAGCGCCGACTTCTCGAGCTCGGCCGACATGAGCGTCACGGTACGGCGCAACGCGTCCGTGACGTCTTGCGACGTTGTCATGAGCTTGTCCTCGCCGCTGGGGGCGTCGAGCGGCAGGGAGAAGAGCAAGCGGCGTGGTCAGCAGTGTTTTTTCTTTTTCTTTCTTGTCAGGCAGGATGAGGTGCGAGGATGCATGGGCGGGTCGCGTTGGGCTGTGCTCACCTTGACCCTCCGCCGCGGCCACCGGTGCGCTCTTTTGCGCTGTCGGCCGCCAGCTTAAGACCCTCGCGGGCCGATGCGGTACGAGAGTTTTCGACGTTGCGGCGAGCGGCGATGAGCGCCTTTCTCGTCGCCTGTCTTGTTCTGCGGAACAGGCAGAGGGGAAGCGACGCGATGTAGGGTCATTAGCATGGGCATTCCCGACACACACAGACGCGGGCAGCTCTCGAAGGGTACTCTTACGTTTCGAGCTCGGTTTTAAGTTGTCTGACGATGGTTGCGAGTGGGTCTCGCTCGCGTGATGTTTCGGCATCGTCGATGGCGAGTTCGAGGTCCAGGAGCGTTCGCTTGAGGCCGTCTATGGAAGCGCTGACCTCGGACTCGTAGTCTGCGAGGGCGGCGGCTGTGGAGCACGAGTGTAAGCGTGGCAGCTGGAAGCTGTGGATTTCGCGGTTGGATCGGAGGAAGCTCGAGTGGACCGCGGCGAGGTCCGCTGGCAGGGATGCAGACGAGGGTGCCGTGGCTGCTGCCATGGCTGGTGCGGTCGATGTCGAGGCCGTGTTGGTGTGATCCGAGAGGCTGGCGAGTGGCCGGATGGTGGCAGGATCCAGGCGCGGTGCGGTGCGGTGGTGGAAGAGGATCGAGGAGCCAAGGAGGAAGCCAGCGTCCGCGATTCGAGCATCATGTGCATGTTGCCGCGTGGCAAGCGGTGCGGTTGGCCCCCTCTGGAGCGGTGCCATCGGTTGCGCCCCGTGCGCTGGCGCCCATGCCGACAACAGCCCGACACCGTACGTACCCTGCCTAGCTCGACTGCCTGCAACTTTGACTGGACCCCTCCGGCTCCCATCTGCCCCACCACCACGGCTACCTGTTCGTCCCATATCCTTTCCCCATCGTCTGTTCACGACATTGCATCTCAAATCACCGCCAAGCTGCGGGCACAACCGCACCCACCCACCGAACAGACAAGCGCCTCCTCCCCTCGCAGACCTCGGACGAATGCCGCCCATCAGATAGCCACTTCTACTTTCCCCCCTCCCCCCTTTGCACACTTGGACCTTTTGCCGTCCCGCCTCAAGCATGCCTAGGCCCGCATCGCAAGCCTCGCAAGGCTGGACAGCGCTCGATGAAGACGCCCGCAGCCCGCAGCCTCGACCCAACAGGCATAAGGGCCAGCTCACTAAGCTGCCAGGCGGCAACAAGGTACGCTGCGTCCGCTCCGGTCCGAAACCGCTAGCCAGTCACCTGATGCTGTTCTTCCTGACCCTCGACCCTCGCTGCGGCAACAGGCCCTAGGTGCTTTCGTCCTCAGCCTCGTCGCCTACACGCTGCAGACCGAGTGCGCACAGTATGTGCAGCAGGCGCTCAACTACCGCAAGCCATTCCTCTCGCTGTGCGTCTGGCGCCGGTGCAGACGACCTCGGTGCGCCCCTCGCCTGCTCTCCCGCTGACAGCAGCCGTCACCTCCGCCCTTCACCCTCATTGCCGTATCTTGGAACATCTGCAGGTATCTCGGCCACAGCGCCTTCACCGTCCTCTTCCCCGCGCACCTCGCCATCCTCTGCTACTCGACCCGGTACCCGCTCTCGCATTACCTGCACCTCATCTCTCAGAATCTGAGATGGCAGCTTCGCACCCCTTCGGCGCCCCTCCCCCGTCAAGGTCCCGACGCGGTCCGAAGGCGTCTCAGCATCGCCAGCGGGCGTGGAGTCGAGACCGACGCCGGCCGCGACGATGGTGCTGCCGCGACAATGCCCGAGTGGAACCAGGTCGATCTCGAGGACGGTGACGCCAGACTCAAACTGCACACCGGAGCACGCTCGCTGGGCGCCTGGCTCGAGGACCGCATCGGCTTTGACGCCATCCGTCTGCTCGGTCTTCTCGCCATCCTCACCCTCGGCATCACCGTCCCTGCCCTCAGCTGGTACTCGGCGGTCCCGATGACGTCGATGGCCGACATCACCGCCATCTACAACACCTTTTCCGTGTGGGCACTCGTCTTTTCCGTCTGGTTCCTGGGCGAAAAGTGGCAGAAGGTGGGTGCGATGCCGCCGCATGCTTGGTCCGAGAACGGAACAGCCTGGCTGATGGACGCCGGCGCCTCTGATGCCCATGTTCCGCTCTCCATCCGTTGCAGCGCAAGGTGTTCTCTGTCCTGCTGGCCTGCTTCGGCGTAGTAGTCGTGGCATACGGCGGCGCTGAGCACCGCAAGCAGCCAAAGGAGCTCGATCCAGTGTATGGCAAGCCCGACGCGCCCGCGTCGAACGCCACGCTCCTCGCTGCCGAGACAATGCTGCGACGAGCGGCGTTCGCGGCGCTCGTGCCCCTCGCGCCGAGAGCCGGGGCGGACGGCGAGACACAGGCTGAGACGCCCAAGTTCTCCAACCCGATGCTCGGCAACCTGCTCGCCCTGGTCGGCGCTGTCACCATGGCGGCCTACGAGATGGCCTTCAAGCTGATTGGCACACTGCCAGACGAGGAGAAGCAGCGCGATCTCTACTCGGCCGTCGGGAGCGCTCAGCGACGCCGATCAAGGAGCTATCTCGAGCATCACGGATCTCGCGCGGCCGACCAAGCCGGAATGGAGGGCCAAGGCCTTCTCGACGAGACTCGAAGGGCGACGGTCAAGAAGGACCAGGCGGATGACGTCCAGCGACACGTACTGGGTGAAAGCGAGGACGGCGCGAACGATGACGATGACGAGACGGCCGACATCAAGGACGGCAGCGCAAGAGACAGGCTGTCGCATCTGCTGGCAGGCGAGAGATCTTCGATCTGGAACCATTCTGCCAGCAGCGATGGCGACCCATACTCGTCTTACCAGACCATGACGCCACCAGCAGAGCTAGCCGCCGATGGCGATGTCGGTTCCGCCGACGTCAAGAAGGACGAAGGTGCTGACAGCAACGGGGTGAGGGTGCAGGCCAGGGCGGTGCAGTACGGCGATGACGAGAGCGACGTGACCGAGAGCGAGCTCGACGAGGGCGAGGCAGAGGAGATCCAACACGGCGCCCACCGACTGCACCGCAACCCGTCGTACGCGTCGACCAAGCGACAGAGCCGCCACCATGCCTCGGCGGCGGATTATCACGACGCTGTCTGCGGCGACGACGGTGATGGTGACGATGGCGGTCAACCTGACCGGGGCAAGTCGTCGCGCGACATCCATCGGGACACTTCGATCCCACCGCCGCTGCCCTTTGGGCTCCATGCCAACCTTATGACGTCGGGGATAGGGCTGGTGACGCTCTGCTGCCTCTGGCTGGGCCTGCCCGCGGCTCACTACCTGGGTTGGGAGAGGTTTGAGCTGCCGCCGAACCTCTGGACGGTGTTTTCGATTGGCGTGGTGGTGACGTGCGGCATCTTTTTCAACGCTGCGTTTATGATTCTGCTGTCGCTGTGGGGGCCGGTGCTTGCGAGCGTCAGCTGCCTTCTGACGACGGTGCTCGTCGAGATCGCCGACGTGCTGCTCGGGCGGGAGCTCAAGCTTGCCAGCGTGCTGGGCTGCGCCCTGGTCGCTGCTGGATTCGGCGTGCTGGTCGGAGGTGGTCGCGAAGGTCTCCACTGACGGCGCTACCGGAGCCCGTTCCGTAGCAGACTCACGCAGCGGACCGCAGCGCCCTCTGGACCGTAGTAACGTAATGTTATGCTATCGGACCGCAACAAGACCGGTGCGAATGGCGATGAAGGACAAAAGCTCTGCGTGTGGCGTCGTCGACGAGCAGGAGCTGGCTCGGAGGCCGGCCAACGGCTGGGTTCCGCGGCCGCATGGCAGGTTGGCCGGCTGCGAGGAGGATCCCGTCTCCGCTGCTCGTGCATGCACTCTTCGGGCCCGCACCTTCTCTTGTCCTGCGCACGGCGGCGGTGGCTTTTGGGGCGAGAAGACGCGTTGTCTGTGGCAGATCTTAGTCCTGATCGTCATGGCGTGGCCCTACGCCCTCCGCCCTCCGCCACGCCCTGCCCATGCCCTTTCCTGCCTTGGCTTTCCCATTGAAGACGAGGCAGGGGTTGACGCAGGAGAGTGCTCGGCGATGCGGTGGAGAGAAGGAAACAATGAGAATGTGGCCGGACCGCCTCCCTTCGAGTGGTGACACCCTCTCCGGTCAGTTCTCGTGCCGTTTTTCGACGCCTTTTTACCGTTGAAACTAGGACGTACGCCAGAGTGTGAAGGCTGGCACCATACACGCACAACATCGTTCGAGCCAAACTACGGCGAAGCCAGATTAGAGGCAGGACGTAGGCTTCTAGAGGGAGAGTGGGAATCGGCGGAGGTCGGCACCTTGGAAAGCCACGCCAATGACCTGCCTGCCTGCAGCTGATGCAGGCGGGCCCCACTGCCGCTGGCCAGCAAGGGAAAAAGAGGGTCCCATGCCAGCAGTTTCGATGGCGCTGTGAGCGGCCGGTGCGGCGTGGGCCGACGGTTGGAGGCGATTTTGGACAGGGCGAGCGACGCCTTGGTCGCGCTTGCTACTCCGCCCGCTCGTTTGCCTCTCCGACCGCACCCTCTTCGCCGCCGGCATCTCTCCGTCTCCGTCGCCAGCCTGCCTCTCCTCCCTGGTCGCAGCTCTGCTGGCCCTGCCCGGCTTGACTCCTGGCATGGCGGCGCAGCTCTTCGGTTTACCGTCGCTGCACCCCTCGGCGCCGCTCTCTGGTTGATCATGGTGCGCGCGTCCAACGCAGCCAGGTGGGTTAGGGGCCATCGTCCCTCCTCATCCCTTTGTCTACAAACGGATGGCCGGTTGTAGCTCGTCGGACCGCTTTGGCCGTCCGGCAGGCTAGGTGTAAGCATAACTGCGTACATGCAAGAGGCACCAGCACGGTGTGGTTCGAGGGTCGGTCGGTCCTAGTCCGACCGGTCTGGCGGCCGACGAGGTGGGGTGGGTTGGCTTTGCCAGCGCCGCAGCTCGGTTTGATGGCCGCCCCACCTCTCTGAACCCCCAACTCATCAGACGACAAAGGGGGATGACCGGCCGACGATCCACCAAGCTCGCTCCAATGTAGACGGGCCCCCCAGGTCAGACAAAGGGTCGACCTCGAACCAAGCTACACATATACATGTATTCCTGAGCAGCATCCTACGGCACGGCTGCCCGAGCGGTCCAAGCGCCACTAAAGGGCTCGCAGCTGGACGGCGAGGGCCGGCATACAGATCGATGGCCTTACCTACAGCGTGTCGGACGGACCGGGGATCAGACGTACAAATCCTACGTACGAAGAGCTGAGCTGTCGATGTTTGTATGTATGTGCACAGGGGGGCTTTGCAGGGGAGCACAGCCCCGGGCCCCCGTTCTCAAGCGCCAATGGAGCGGTGCTGTCTAACTAGAGGGACCTTTGGACGACGTCCCGGCAGCCCCGACCCAACACATCATCGCTGCTCCCTTCCCCTTGCTTCATCTCCCCCCTCATCCTCTTCACATCCTCTCACCTCCCCCTCTTCCCAGATCCACGCCCCTCCTCTCTTCTTTGCCACCATCGACCTTGTCCACCTCCTCTCCCCTCCTCTTAAACACGCTTGTGCGCCCCTCTGTCCTTCCGGATCCCATCAACACAGACGCTGCTGGACATCGTCACCTAGTCAGCTACGCTCCTCGTCCGGCCTGACCGCCTTCACACTCGCTCTCGTCGTCCGGCCACATTTCGCCAACTCCACCGCCCGCGAGCCTGCCCTGAACGGATAACGGCGCGTCAAGCTTCCCCCTCGCATCGAGCTTCGCCCTCACCGTCTACTTCACCATGCGCTTCTTCAGCCCCCTCGTCTTGCTCTTGCCGCTCGTCGCTGAGGCCTTGTGCCGGTCTGGGTCCGGGCCATTCCAGCGTGGCCTCATTTGGGGCGTCAACAACGACATCCTCAATGGCCTCGACCTGGGCGATCTCATCACCTTCTACCTCCATTGGGCCGATGGCCCCGTCCCGGAGCTCGACAAGCAGAACGTCGACTTCGTGCCGATGCTTTGGGGCCGCCAGAAGCTTGACCAGTGGAGGCAGCGCAAAAAGGAGATGGCCAAGAAGCGTCCCAAGTTTGTCGCCTTTTTGAACGAGCCCGACATCGCCGGCCAGGCCAACATGAGCCCGCAGGACGCCGCTGACCTCTTCAGGCAAGAGATGCAGCCGCTGGCCGACCAGGGCATCCAGGTATCGAGCCCCCAGATCTGCTGGAACATCCAGTGGCTGCAGGAGTTCAAGAAGGCTTGCCACGACTGCAGCATCGGCTTCGTTGCGGCCCACTGGTACGGCGACAAGGGCGACTTTGACAAGCTGCAGAAGTACGTCGACGACCTCTCGGGCGTCTACCCTGGCCTGCCCATCTGGCTCACCGAGATGGGCCTCACCAGCAAGAGCAACCCGAGCCAGCAGGAGGTCGATTCCTTTGTCCAGAAGGCCTTCACCTGGATGCAGACCACCGGAAAGGTTGCCCGCGGCGTCTGGACCGGCAGCTTCCAGATCAACAGCCCGCCCGACGGCTTCCTGAGCAACCTCGGCGCCTTTTTCAACGACGACGGCTCGCCCAGGAACCTGTTTAAGTGGTGAGTGCTGCCGCTGTCATCACGGCCCCTTCGCATCGACCCGTGTCGCGATGCATGCGTATCGAGCACCAGTATGCTGATCCGTACATCATCACCCCATGCGTTCGCTCCGCCCGCGCCCCCACAGGTTCTCCAGCCAGCAATTCCCGACCGGGTGGAGCAAGAGTCAGTGGTCCGAAATCACTTCGTCGTCGTCGTCGTCGTCTTCGTCGTCTTCGTCATCGTCATCGTCCTCGCACTCGTCGAGCAGCAGCGACGATGGCTCGGACAGCGGCAAGATGGGCGTCTCGCGTCTGGCGCAGAGCAACAGCACCCAGACCAAGCACAAGGTCGTTGGCGCCGGCAAGGCGCACTCGCGCAAGCACAAGCACAAGGGCCACCACCACAAGGCGGGTGGCAAGGGCCAGGGCCGCAAGAGGTAGGCAGGCGCATCGACCCCGCATCCTTCCTCGCCCTCGGCCTGCGCGTCAGAGTCGTCGGTCGGGCGGCCGGCCGGCCGATCGGGTTGAGTGTCAAGGCCGGCGGAGATGCTGAAGAGTTCCTGTTGCTTCTCCTCGCCCCTTGATCCGCTCGATAGGTCCTGCCCCGTCTGAAGGCGGCTGCGCCCCTCGCGACGTCTCCAGTCCCCTTTACCAGCTTGTCACGGAGCACTCGAACCCAGTCCCCTCGCCATCGTCGTCCCCACATCCCAGCTTCGCCTTGTGGATTGCTCGCTGGCCGGGCAATCGACTTGGTGAAGGCGTCGTTCCAGTTCCACCCACTTCATCCCCGTCCTTCCTGCCACCCCTTCGCCTTCTTCGCCTTGCCCCCGTGTCCCTCTTTTCCCCTTTAGTTCCTTGTCCGCCCTTCCCTTTTCTTTATCGCAAAGGGAGAGAACGCATGGCCGTCCTGTCCCATTTGAAGTGGCAAGCATTGTCTTCATCGTGCGGTGCCTCTGATCCCATCTGCGGCGTCCTCCCGCGGCGGGCTTCGCAGTGCGGCTGGCTGGCTTGTCGCGCGCAGACGGGAGCGAGGACGGGAGAGGTGACGGGCGATGCTCCTCGATTGCGACGCAGGCAGCAGTCGATGTCGCTTCGGCTTTAAAGCCGTCAATGCCTGGCTCTCCTCCTGCCCGTGAGCTCCTCGGAGTAGAAGCAGATCGACTGCCGGTCGAGCCAGACCTTGAGCAGTTCCTTTTTCCTGCCCGTGTCGATGTGGATGGCCGACTTTGCGAGGATGCTGACGACCTCGTCGAGCGGGATGGGCTCGTACCGAAGGATGCGGTCGTAGAGCTGCTCGTCGCTGCGTATGCAGGCTGCGAACTCGTGGTAGGGCAGCGATTGACCCGAAGCTGTGGTGGCCGCGGCTGCCTTGGACGATTTGGACTTGGGCTTGGTCTTGGCATCGCGTTTGAGAGGGGAGGATGAGGGTGATGATGTAGAGGGTATTGGGAACAGGGTGGAGAGCGGGACGTCGTCGGACGAGACTGATGAAGACGTCGAGGCCGCCTCGAGACGGAGCTGTCTGGTGAGGTCGCCCTCTTCTTCGACCTCTTGTCCGCCTTGCTCCTCGACCGCATTGAGCAGACCGCGGCCGCCTATGCAGGAGTCGACCAGCCTCCTTCTTCTCGCTGGGGGCGATTCTAGATCCGAGAGGTCGATTGGGTCGCTCTTCCTCCCCTTTGCCTTGGCCTTCCCCTTTGACTTCCCGGTCGCCAATGCCGCCACGCCATCGTCCTGTTCCACCCGCTGCACCTCTTCATCCGCAAAACTGTCGTGGATGTCGGGCGGTACGAAGCCGACATCGCCACCGCCCTCCTGGTCCGTGCCGAGCGCCATGTAGACGGCGCGGAGCTGTTCGAGGAGGACGGGCCGCGACTTTGAGGGCTTGAAGCCGTACCGCTTTGTCTCGCGCTGCAGCTCGGCGATGCTCCATTGCGACAGGTCGCGCAAGGAATTGCTGCCGGATGGCATCGACACAGAGTTCGAGACCGAGGTCGAGACGGATCGGAAGAGGTGGAATGGACCGAGACGCTGTGCTTTGCAGCAAAGCGGGCGGAGGGGAAGGAGGAACATGGTCGCGGGACGGCAACCTGGAGCTCTAGGGAGATTAGAGCAAGGCGGCAACGAACGACGCAGGCGTCGGATGTGGAGGAGGCCTTCGAGCCGCGGTGGCCGTCCCTTCAACTTTGCCTCGCCACCGTGCATGGCAGGCAGGCAGGCAGGCAGGCAGGCACGCATCGACCGCCGCCCGTGATCCGAATTTGGTGGTGCTCAAGCAGCCTCCTACTCTCTCGGCGCCTCCTCGACGTGCTTGCCCTAGTCAGACGACGACTACATCGACATCGTACAAGGCGCGCTCGGATACGCCCTTGTTCAGACGACGAACCGCAACCCACCATGGCCTTGGCCAGACCGACTCGACTTTTCATTGCTCCGACGTCGAGCTCATCAGAGCCTACTCGCCGTCCCGCACCATCCGCCGGATACTCTCGACCTTTTCCCGCATCTGCTCGCACCGCTGCCGTATCAGCGCCGTCTCTTCCCTCCTGCGCTGCAGCTGCATCTGCATCATGAGCTTGAGCGTCTCCCTCGCCTGCGTCGGCCTCAGCTCGTTGATGAGAAACTGCATGTTGATGACGACGTTCTGGATATGCTGCAGCCGGTCCTTGGCCTCGGTCGACTGCGTCCAGAAGCCCATAGGAGGCTGCACCGGCTGCCCCGCCCCCTCTTGCGCCGCCGGATCCGGCGCGGCGGCGGGCACCCACACGTCGTAGGGCTGCGCCGGACGTAAGAGGTCCGAGGTCAGGGCGCGGTAGGTGTGCAGCAGGCTTTGCAGCAGAGTCGTGAGCTGTTGCTTGCGGTCTGCGGGTCCAGGGCATCCAAGGTGACCAAGGCAAGGGCATCAGCGAGCGAGTCGGGCGTGATGGTGGATGCTGAAAAGACAGTGGCCAGACTTACCGGCGGTGGTACTGGGCGGCAGTATCGTGGGTATGCCGAGCTCCTCCAACGTCGGCGTGACGTCCGGTATCTGGTCAACAAGCAAGCGAGGTTCAGAATGCGAGCAGAAACTTCAGTGAGCTCTTGGACCGACACTGAGCGATATTGTCGAGATACTCACTGGCCAGTGCTGCCCAAACACGGTATAGCCGCCGTCTTCCTCGATCCATTCGACCTTTGGTCGGTCGAGCTCGAGGAGGAGGTCAAAGTCTGGCAGCTCCTCGTCGTCGTTCGCAGCTTCTTCATCACCGTCTGCGAAGCCAGCCTCTTGCATCTTGACGTCGTCACCGCCCGCGTCGTGCGCGTGCGCGTCGTCGGCCTTTTCGAGTTTCCGGCGGCGCTTGCGGGCCCTGACCTGGCGCAAGTGGTCGCGGAGAATGCCCGTCTGGCGCTGCATGCGCGCTTCGGGATCTAGAAATTCCCATGGTGTCTCTTCTGGACCTAGGCGGTGTGACTGGAGCACCGAGAGGAGGGCGAGGTTGCGCCGGGTGTACTTAAGGTAGACCTGGGGCGGGGGCGGGAAGAAGGATGTGCTGATCTGGGCTGCGCCTGCGGTGCCGTTGGCATCCGCCTGCTGTTGCTGCTGCTGTTGGTCATGTTCGGCGTCCATGGCAGCGGTTGATCCGGGAGAAGATGCTGGCCAATGGCGGCGGTAGGAAGGATGATTCGGGTGGATGGTCGTGGAGGAAGGTCCAGAGGAGCGAGGCAGCCTGATCCGAGCGCGGCTGGACTCGAGGCCTTCTCGCGGGCCCACAGGGTCCCCTGGCAGTCGCTGCCCCCACCCGAGATCCGAGTTCGAGGGGCTCGGAATGTCTGAGCGCCGTGGCGAGTCACGAAAGCATTTGGCTCGACTCGTGGCCGCCCTCATCAACTGTACCCCTCCCTACCTGCCCTCGTTTCCCTTTTCCACTTTCCCCCTTCACCACCACCGCCTTCATCACCGTCACCACCGGCCAACGCCACCGCAGACGCACAGTAGCCAGCACACATCATGTCGGCACCACCGCCCACTCTCGATCTGTCGCAGCGCGACCAGACCATCAACCTCGGCGCAGGGCCCTCGTCGCTCCCCACCTCGGTTCTCCTCACCGCCGCACAGGGCATCCTCGACCACGACGGCACCGGCATGGGCCTCACAGAGCTCTCCCACCGCTCCGGCACGTTCAAAAAGGTCATTGAAAAGGCAGAGGCCGACCTCCGCGCGCTCCTCGCCATCCCAGACGACTATGCCGTCCTCTTTGTCCAGGGTGGCGGCACGGAGCAGTTCTCGGCCACCGCCCTCAACCTCCTCGCTGCCCATGCAGTTCACAACCCAGACTACGTCCGCAACAATAACGGACAGGGCCCGCCCTGCGACTACGTCGTCACCGGATCCTGGACCAGCAAGGCGGTCAAGGAGGCGAGGCGGCTGGGCTTCAACGCAAACGTCGCTGTCGACGCCAGAAAGGCAGAGGGGGCCGATGGCAAGTTCGGAATGATCCCAGAGGTGTCCACCTGGAACCTCAGCCCCGCCCAGTCCAAGCCGGCCTTCCTGTACTACTGCGACAACGAGACCGTCGACGGCGTCGAGTTCCCCAACCCGGGCTTCCCCATCGACCGCCTGCCAAAAGAGTACCGCGACACGGTCCCCATCGTCGCCGACTGCAGCTCCAACATCCTCTCGCGGCCCATCGACGTGGCCGCCCACTCGCTCATCTTCTTTGGCGCCCAGAAAAACGTCGGGCCGTCCGGCGTGACGGTCGTCATTGTGCGCAAGAGCCTCGTCGTCGACCCGGACCTGGGCGTCGAGCACGGCGGCCCGCGCATCCCCACGACGCTCGTCTACAAAAACATGCTCGACAACGCCTCGCTCTACAACACCCCGCCCATGTTTGCCATCTACGCCTCTGGCCTCGTCTTCGACGACCTGCTGCGCAACAAGGGCGGTGTTCAGGGCGCCACGGAGCGCGCCCAGCAAAAGAGCCGGCTCGTCTACGACGCCATCGACGCCAGCGAGGGCATCCTCATCCCCACTGTCCGCCAGCCCGGCGCCAGGAGCAGGATGAACGTCACCTTCCGCATCGCCCGCCCGGGCACGGCCACGCCCGACGAGGCGCTCGAGGACCGCTTCGCCAAGCGCTGCGCCGAGCACCACATCGTCCAGGTCAAGGGCCACCGCAGCGTCGGCGGCATCCGCACCAGCCTCTACAACGCCGTCACCGTCGAACAGGTGCAGAAACTCGTCGAGGTCATGCGCGCCTTTGTCCAGGAGGTCAAGGCCGAGGCACAGGCATAGACGACGTGGCCGATCGCCCCGCTAGACAGACGAACACGCACCGAGACCTTTTTGCAATGTCGATCACGCCGCATGCCGTTGCCATCGTCGATACTTCCGCCTGAACCTGTCTCTTTCGCTCGACGCGACACCCGCGTGCCTCAGTCGGCCTGATGCTGCGCAGGCCCCGCCCCGGCCCCGGTCCCCGCCTCGGCCTTTTCCCTCTCTCTCTCCCGCCTCCGCTTGCCCTGCTTCTTTTTCTTGTTGGCCTTCCTCTTCCTCTGCGTCTCGACTTCTCTCTCGATCCTGCTCGAACCACCGACCTGCTGGCGGACGAGGTCCTCTAGGATCCTGCTCATCCTGCGCCGCGCCAGCTCGCGGTTGCGCAGGCGCGAGCGCGTCTCCTGGCAGGTGACGCGCGTCGAAGTGGGGACGTGGACCAGCTGGACGTTTGTCGAGAGCTTGTTGATGGCCTGTCCGCCCGGGCCCGAGCCGCGGATAAAGGATTCCGTGAGGTGCCGCTCGTCGAGCGTGAGCGGGTACTTGCGCGAGTGCGGTTGCAGCACGTAGCTGCCCTCGTTGAACCACGCCGGCAGCGTCTTGGGCGCTGCCCTCGATGCCCTGCTGGTCGTAGCAGCGGCATCGCCGTCCGACGGGTCTATCGGTTCCTCCTGCGTTTCTAATTGGTCGGACTCGCTCGATGCTTCGTCCAGATGGTCGTCGTGGTCGCCGACGTCTTGGATGTCGTCGAAGAGGTCGACGTTGTCCGAGGCGATCAACGCGGATGCATCGCTCTGCACGGACGCGGGAACGCTTTCACCTGTCCTGGCAAAAGAGGGTAGACGACGTCGATGGCGCGGAGGTGAAGACAAGGCAAAGACGCTTCAGTGGGCTTTCCCTTGCTGCCCACGCTGAGCGCAGCCTCGAGACCGCCGCCGACGTCGTCACTCACACTCCGACCTCGTCCTCGAGCCAGGTCAGGGTGTCGCTGACGGCGTGATCCTCGTCGGCAAAGACGAACCTGTCGAGGCTCTCGTCTGCCTCTTCTTCCCGGAGGTGCTCGATGCGGTGGATCTCGTACCAGGGGATGCCCTGGTCCTTGTGGCGCTGCAGCTCCTGCTGGCTCCACACGACGCGGAGGGGGAACTGTGTGTGGAACTTGAACTCGTCGAGGGGGGAAGGGAGGAGGTGTGGATGCTGCTTTGCGAGAAGTGCGTTGTTGAGCGGCGGGTCGACGAGCTGGAGGGCCGAGAGCGGGTGAGAGGAGACGTAGGCCTGTGCAATGATGGCGGCGAGGCCCTTTGCGACGAGGACGGGCGGGAAGGGTGAGCCGCCCTGTGCTGAGCGGAGCGTGCTGACCGCTTCTTGCTCAAAGAGTTCTAGGAGGGCCGAAGAGTCCCTGATGCTGGCCAGGTCGACTTCCGGGTCAAGATCGAGCAGCAGGGACTGGTAGCCGCGCGACGACGAGGCCGAGACGTAGTTGGCGTAGAGTTGCTTGCAGGCGGGCTCAGATGTCCATTTGGGCGCCGAGAGGAAGAGCAGAGGTGTGGGTACCTCTCTGTCTGCGTCGGGCGAGGGTTCGACGGTGGTCAAGGTGGATTTTAGCCGCAGGATCGAGGCTGGCCGCTGAGGGACGCTGCGCGCCAGGCGGAGGCTGGACCGTGTGGAGCGCCATGGCGCCGAGAAGACGCAGCGAGAGGCAGGTGTGAGTGTATTCGCCAGCATCAGAGGGCGATGCGCAATAGAGGTGGCAGAGAGCGGTGACAGCAGCAGCAGCAGTGCGGTTTGGTATGGTACGGTGGGGTGAGGAAGAGGGAGAAGGATGGACGGCGGCTGAGCCAGCAGGAAGGCTTGGAAGCCTCTGGTTCGCCTCGCCTCGCCTCCACCCAGCGGCGCCCTCGGGGGGGCTGCCTGCGGCGCTCGTTT